GGATTTCAAACTTGACTTTTCCCTTACCAGAAACGTACATATAATTTACCTTATGTCTTTAAGGTGACGCTGTTGCTGCCTTACCCAGCTTCAGTCGTCTCTCTTCCAGTGTGTTTAGTGGCATGCAGTGATTTTAGCTGCAGCATAGGGTCATAAAGCTCTGATGCCTTTCCTGTTAGAACAAAAGAATCATCATAAACAGCTTGTTATGTTACGGCAGATTTAAGGAAAATGACTTGTATCATAGGTAACAAATGACGTGATTCGGTTTGTAAGATCAGACTTTGATCTTACCTTTGACTTCCTTTCTCAGCTCGTCACGTTCCTCTTTGAGCACCTTTTCTCTTTGGCGCAACTCATGGATTACCTTAACTTTCTAAAAGTCCTTTCTTTTCTTGGTTATAACATAGCAGCCGTTATTTCACCAACAGATTACAGAGGTTTACATGTGGTCCATAGAAACCAAACGACGACATCAACGAAGTTGGTGATCCAGACTCACACAGTGAAGGAAACAGGTAACTGTCCAATTTCTCGCGCTCTGATTATCTCATTTTTGGCTCATTTTTATTATCAATAAGAGTGCAGACAGATAAAATTTTAAATTTATGCAAGCTTTCAAGTTCAACTTTCAGCTTTCATACTGTCAACTTTTTAACCAATGAGATTTCATGGACCTTTTTACGTAGCCAATGAAAAAGCGAGAAAAGCTATCGACAATGTTCGCGACATTTTAAATAAAATACACTTATTTTTATCGATGGCAAGTTTACGGCGTCTTTTCCCCTCATTTGTTTCTGGTATTTGACGATTTTGGAGTCTTGTTGTAAAAAATGAAAACCACCGGGTTCAGGAACTTACTGATTTATTGAGACCTCCGCACCTATTCCCTGGTGTATGCTTTTATTTATTATTATTATTATTATTATTTTTACTATTACTATTACTATTGCTATTACTATCACTATCACTATCACTATCACTATCACTATTACCATTACCATTACCAATACCATGACCATTACCATTACCATTACTATTATTACTATTATTATTATTATTATTATTATTCATTTCTTTATTTATTTTAAATTTTTTGGCAGTGGTGTGACTGAGAATGAACCAAAAGAGGCTATCAACGAAGTTGCTGAGCCAGCCCAAGACATTGAAGTAGATACGTAAGTATTTAAAGAATAAAGTCACTAGCTTCAGGGACTCACCGTTTCCTTAAGCACACCCCTCTCCCCTTCCCCCTTCCCCCAAGGGGCCTTGGTCAGCCAAAATTTCTAATTTTTATTCTGTTTGTTAAGTTTCCTCAAGACAAGCGCACAAGAAGTGTACACTACTGGGCATTACGCATACCAGGAACAAAAGGTAGGAAATAAGTTTTAGCATGTAAAGAGGCAGCAAGCAAAAGTTAGACTTTACAGCGATCAGTAGACTTGTCCGTCTTTCAAGTGCTTTCGAGATTGCCTCTACTATCTTGTTTCTATCCTTTAAAAAACAAAGTTATAAGGTAGTTTCATATTTATTTATTTACTCGGTGGGACATGAAGAATAATTGGGTTTTGAAGTGGTTGGTTAGGGAGTTTGCGCCACTATTTTTATTCCAGTGACAACTAAAACCAGTACGAGATGAAGATCAAGGCTCTCATAATTTTAAAACCAACAGAATTTGTCAAAGGTCAAGGCTTCCCAGACCTTTGCTATACCTAAGAAAATGTTCTAATTTTTTACCATCAGGGCACAGTAACGAATCCTACAATCTGCTTGGTTCTTACCACAGTCCGGATTTTCGGGTCTCTGACCACGGTCACGGTAACGGCGGGAAACAGCACGGGTGAAACTGTTGTGTTGGTCAATTTTCCTGGGTGAACTAGCAGTAATCGTCAACCTTTGCCTTTTTACATTTCCATCGGCGATTAATCAATGCCGAGTTTATATCTGTTCACTTTAAAATGGCAAGGAAAGTCACTGTTTGTAAATTCAGTTGAGTATTTTTAATTTGCGAGAGTTTGTTTGATTGTTTGTAGCTCAGTGCTGTAATGGCACGTACTCCTGTGTTTCTCTCGCCGCACAATTTTTAAACCAAAAAAGGCCAATAGCAGTCAAGTTCAACTCTCTGACTGTTGCTGTGGTTAAGAGAATTTCTGTGGAACGCAGTTAATGAATTTCCTTGAATTCTGCTTCTCAATTTACTGCAAAAAAGTCTGATTTCGAACGATTCGCAACGAGTGATAGAAATGGTTTTTGTTGTACAACTTCAAACTTTGCACGCAATTTCACACCGGAGAAGCACAGGCAGTTTTGGAGAACTTAACTGGTGAACTGTATACAACATAAATTAGTTCGAAATAAATCTTCTTTAATACATCTTTCTTTGTCTAGTACCTTAGTTACTCGCTTGTTCGCTCGTTAGATTGTTTACAATGGTGTTTAGACGAGACGTAAGCCAATTCAATGTCAAAGTTGACACACACAATTTTTTATATTCTTTTTCAGCCAACCAAACATCGAGAAAGAGGTGGTGGGGTTGACAGCGAGAGAGAAACCGAAGAAGGCCAAGATCAAAGACCATCGCGCGGCGAAAAGGTTGGTAAATTAACGATGGAAGGGCAGGTATAGACAGACAAAAAGACAGACAAACAAACATAGTTTTTTAAATTCTTTTTCAGCCAACCAAACATCAAAAAAGAGGTGGAGGGGTTGACAGAGAAGGAGAAACCGAAAAAGGCCAAGATCAAAGACATTCACGCGGCAAAGGTGGGTAAATTAAAGATGGAAGGACAGGGATAGACAGACAGAAAGACAGACAGACAAACACACTTTTTTAAATTCTTTTTCAGCCAACCAAACATCGAGAAAGAGGTGATGGGGTAGACAGAGAGGGAGAAACCGAAAAAGGCCAAGATCAAAGACATTCACATGGCGAAAAGGTGGGTAAATTAAAGGTGGAAGGACAGGGATAAACAGACAGAAAGAAAGACAGACAAACACAATTTTTAAAATTCTTTTTCAGCCAACCAAACATCGTGAAAGAGGTGGTGGGGTTGACAGAGAGAGAGAAACCGGAAAAGGCCAAGATCAAAAACCTTCACATGGCGAAGAGGTGGGTAAATAAAAGAGGGATGGACAGGTATAGACAGACAAACAGACAGACCAACAAACACAATTTTTAAATTCTTTTTCAGCCAACCAAACATCGCGAAAGAGGTGGTGGGGTTGACAGAGAGAGAAACCGGAAAAGGCCGAGATCAGAGACCTTCACACGGCGAAGAGGTGGGTAAATAAATGAGGGAAGGACAGGTATAGACAGACAAACAGACAGACCAACAAACACAATTTTTTAAATTCTTTTTCAGCCAACCAAACATCAAGAAAGAGGTGGTGGGGTTGACGGAGAGGGAGAAACCGAAAAAGGCCAAGATCAAAGACATTCACGTGGCGTAAAGGTGGGTAAATTAAAGATGGAAAGACAGGGACAGACAGACAGACAAACAGAAAATATGGCAGACAGACAAAGGCTTAAAATAGAATTAATGAATTTGCATTGCGTTTAGAGCCAATATGCGATGTGGTTATGGTGGACTTGTGTCATTCAGATGATAATACGGCAGGCCTCGATGATTTTGAACAAAGGGACGATAAATTGATAACAAATGATGTCTTGAATTCGTTATAGTGCAAGCAACACCATTTCTGGACCCTGACTATACGATATCATTACATTTTATCCTTACCTGGACTCCTTAGCAGTAACTATTACTCTTTTTCCGGAATTGACACAAAATTTTTTGACGATTTGCAAAGATGATCCTGAGGTTCCATTGACTTGTCTTCTTAAGATTTTCGTAGTTGAGCTGAAGAGAGCGACATAAAGTGCAGTTTCAAGAGGTCCAATATTTGAGGTGTATGAATTTCTTGACCATATCATGTAAACATGGTTATGTCCTAGGCAATATGAGATCAAGTGGGGGTGTTACAGAATGTGACCTCATACATGTAGTACATATTGTAATAAACAAATCCCCAGATCTTGTTCCTTCGGGTCTAACGTGACTGACTAGTGTTCCGAGTGTGATCTTTGAATCTTTAAAATCTCACCCCATCATGACAGAAGAAGTGAATTCAACAGTAACCACATACAAATCATATAAAATACCCTAATTTTGTTAAAATCTGTTGAAGCTAAATTAATATATTTAGAAGAATGACAAATTACAGAATATTGGAAAAACCGTCTGAACAACCTTGACTTTTTATCAATTCAAAATGTCACGCAATATCATTTCCATGATGTGGCAAGGTATGAAAAAATTTTGCCATAGGAGAGTAAAAATATTAAGGAGTTAGGCCAAAATGAGGAATATATCTGCCTGTCATTAGATGAGATGTTGCCATGGTANATTTTACCGAAAGGGAGTATAAATATTAAGGAGTTAGGCCAAAATGAGGAATATATCTGCCTGTCATTAGATGAGATGTTGCCATGGTAACGGCCTTAATCCAAAAATTGACAACCAAAACCTAAGCCTTATTTTAACAGTACTCATCTTGGTAAATCTCTGGAGGGAAAACTTTAAGAGAAATGAACCAAGTTTTCTTTTCTAACTCACGCTCTATAGGGAGGGGGTTCATAAATACTCTAGGGAGCCACCTTAAGGACGTTCGCACTAATTTTTTCTGCGCATCCTTACTGCGCATGCAAATCCACACACCACCTCATGTACGAGAGTGCGCGCAACGATAGGACAGATGGCCATTGCTATAACTTTGCCTGGATTTAACGATCTTGGACGTTCAGTGACCCCTAGTTTTCTTTCCAGAAACAGATTTTATTTACCATTATCTCCACATCGTCCAAAAATGAACAAAAAAACCAATGTGGGAAGTTAAAAAAATTTCTGTCCATGGGACATCGGATCCTGCCATCTTGTAGCTGCAAGGTGCGTGAAACTATGGTCGCTAAATACGAACTTGTTCTTTAAGGAACCTCACCAGTTAACTAAATTCACTCAATAGGTCCACTTAAACAATATTTGGCAGAGAACACTTCATTTCAAAGATCTACTTGCAGTATTTTTGAGCTTACAGACACTGTGGCCTTATTTGCTAACGAAGCCTGATTTTTTCAGATTTAGGGTGTTCTTTTGGGCATGTTCTATTCAAAATGAAGTAGGTGACCCCCATTTTTTTACATTTCTGACATAACTAACTCATCATCTTACAGTGGTAAGTCTCGGAAAAAAATCCATGTTAGAAAATTTGCCTAACTGTCTATCATTTAGCGTACCCAGAATGTATGCTGATTCAGTCTAGTCTATCTCACGACTTTGAAAAGCTAAGCAAATGGCTTGTGTCTAAGACTTACCTTGAACACCACAAAAATGGAAT